CTTTCTGCCATCAGAGTGGTATCATCTGCATATCGGAGGTTGTTGATATTTCTTCCGGCAATCTTAATTACGGCTTGGGATTCCTCCAGCCTGACCTTTCGCATGATGTATTCTGCATATGAGTTAAATAAGCAGGGAGACAATATACAGCCTTGTCGTATTCCTTTCCCATTTTTGAACCAATCAGTTGGGGAAATCATATGAACAAATAAAAGGACTCTTTCAGCCTCAGAAATCAGATGAATTTGGTATCATTGTTTACATATCTAAACCTCTCAGTCTAACAAAAGATTGCTTGTTTCTTGAAATGAGCATTGAACTTGAGCCAGTTTCTAGGTGATCACGGAACAACAGGAAGGCAATTAGCCTTAGAGAAAGTACAAAGAACGAGTTGACCACAGACGTCCGAGCCAGCTGGGCCTCAGGCAATGCCTTGAGACCTCTTTTTATTAACTTAGCATGATTACATTGTACTATGTTGTGAGAATTCAGATAGGATAATAATTACCTAATCGCCACTAGGATTGGGCAAAGAAACTTTTTGACTTATGCTCTAACTCTAAGGGAAAAGGCAGCGAATAAACTTTTTGACTTATGCTCTAACTCGTAAGGGAAAAGGCAGAATGAGGGGTCACCCCACCCACTGGGAGCTTCCGCTCTCCACCAGGAGTGTTTGCACTCATTGAAACGGAATGCGGCTAACAACCTTGGGCAGGAGTTTCCCACACCAGTTGATCCGAAGCACAATCCAAAGCTTGAATTACTAGACTATATAGAGGGTTCAGGCTGGGATGTGGATGTGGAAGGCACACATTTCATCTCCCCTTCCCTCTACTGCTGATAGGCTACAGGGAAAGAGGTGGGCAACATGCACCTCTGTTTGGCAATCCCTCTGTTTGGATGCTGGCCTGGATCATGTTCATGTAGTTCCGAGACGAAAATCTGATTTAGTTTGCTATGATCCCCAAGACTCATGCATTTCTAGTGATGCTACTAAGACATTTAAATCCAGCAGTGTCTAGTGAAGTGAGGCAGAGGGCAATTTAATAAAAGGAAGGTGGGATACCAAGGCAGAAACAACAAAAGAACAGACTTCTAAAGTGTCTTTTCAAGTTTTTAATAATTTCCTGTCAATGCATTTTGAGGCAATGGCCAGAATCCTATTAGCTACACCTGTTGGCATAACCCTGCGAGTGTAAATTTCGGGAAAAACTGTCACTAGGAATGGGACTTTGAAGATTTTAGAACTTTCACTCCCAGAATTCACTCAAAACCTGCCAGGGCAGTCAGAGACCCAAAAATAAGGAGGCTGAAGAGCAGCCCTTCTTACCTCCATGCCTGTCCCAGGACACTTCTGTTTTGAACTGTAAAGAAACTGTTCTAGTGCACTGTGGGAGTCTCAAAGGTTGATGAGAGGGCTACCCTTCCATGGAGGGTGCTCTCTGTAATGGGCATTAACGACACCTCCAACGTAATTCCCACTAATCACCAGGGCAGTTTCTTTATTGTTCAAAGTAGAAGTGGCCTGGGAAGACCATGGCAACAGGCATAGCTGCTCTGAAACCTCCTTGTTTTGGGGCCTCCACTCCCAGAATTTTCCCTCGGGATTGCTATGCAAATTTTGGAAGTGGGAGTCCTAAAAACCTGAAAGTGCTGTCCCTAATTGTCACCACCCAAGAAGTAAGCATAGGCATTTACTATCACACACCAGTCACACGACTCAGTGTGTGATACTAAATACCTATGTTAACTTGCAACAATTTGCTGCTGAAATTTACACTGATACTGTTAAATTGGCACAAGGACGTAATAGCATTCTACCCCGTTACTTCTCCATGGCTTTTTTTGGGGGGGAGGGGACCTGTAGACTTTTGCATAAAGGACACCATGTTGCCTAGTGTTGGAAGGAGTTTGAGTCAAGCAGCATCTGGAAAGCCATGGACTCCATACCCCCACCTGACTTCTCTTATAATATTTCAGATGAATCACAAATTTGAGGACTCTTAAGCTTCAGAAGTGCATAAACACCTGAAGATCCCAAAGGGGATGGTTGCTCACATCCATATAAGCAGCCATTCCAGGGGAATATATTTTATGTGCCAGGTGACTGTGATTCCTTCCTTCCTTCCTTCACTTGTGCATTCAGTACTAGTTTTTTGTGATCTGGGCTTGTATCAGCTTTGCAGACCAAATTAAGTTTGGTGTCGTTTCCTTTCTGTTCTCTTGTTAGGTCATTTGTAGGTCCAACACTTGGTGGATTTCTGAATGACAAGTTGGGTTTTGAATGGGCTGCAGCCATACAAGGCGGATTCCCACTGTTAAGTGTATGTAAAATATATTTTTATACAACTGTTTTGTTGTATTATGATTGTATCTGAAATATTACAAATGCTCTAACCAATTGTTTCTCCTCCAGGGACTAGCTGTTGGAACATGGTATCTCTATGAAGCCTCACACAGAAGAAGGTACAGTAAAAGTGACTCTTCCTTTTAAAATCTAAGGATGATTTCTTTTCTGATCTACTTAAATGTTACATAATGTTAGTTTTCATTTAGAGCCCAAATGATTAATGCCAGCTTCTAACTTGTTCTGCATGTGCTGTTTGATCCCTGAGCTGCCTGACTGACTTTCACGTGCAATAAACTTTAAATGTATTCAGGCAGCAGGATGAGAAGAACTCCAAATGTTCTCCAAATTCTTGCCTTTTCTTCCACTGTAGCCTGTTCAACACAACCCAACAAATATTGATAAAACAGTAGCATCTGTGAACACTCATGTTTTTCTTATTATATCATTCAGATCTTTTAATTTAGTACTGCAGTTTAACTGCTGTGTCTACCATGTGATGCAGCGGTTAAATTGCAGTGCTGCAGTCAAGACTGCTAACAGTTCCATCCCAAAGTGCTCAGGTGGCTGTTTTGTGATTGACTCAGTCTTCTGTCCTTCCAACAGTGGCAAATTGAGTACCCAGCTCAGTTGGCAGTGGGTGGGAATGTGTAACCTACATAATGGAACTTTAAACTGCCCAGAGGGTGCTTTAAGGGGTATGGAGTGGTATATAAGCAACACGCTTTGCTTTATTCGGAAGGCTGCGCCTTTGTTTGCTCTTTTCCCTCTCCATCTTTGACTCTGTAGTGCTCAAACTTCTTTTGCCACACTAAGAATTAAATTTAACATTATGTTTAAATGTGTTATCACATTCAATACACACACTTTTCTTTAAAATTGTATGTCCAATGGGAGGGGCACACATTTGTATCAAGATTATGCAGTCCACATTAAAATCCCCACTAGTACTGGCACAGTGGAAGACTTTCCTGACAATGGGGTGTCTCCTTTAGCCCAGATATCATAGGCTTCTTGGCAGTAGAAGGCAGCTTAGGGGACAAATTTTACCAGCCTCTTTGACACAACATCCATTGTGTCGATGTGTCATTAAAATGCACTGTGTGATCACAGCTAGAAAGACTAAATGTTATTGTCAGTAAATACAACTGAAGAATAAAAAGAGGAAAAGAAAAATAAGAGGAGGAAAAGAAGAATAGAATTGAACAACATTTTTTGTTTGTGACAAACAGTTCAGATTGCTGAAACTTAAACAGCATTTGTTGTTTAAACTCAGAATGAGTATGTGTTTTATGTAATTCTCTCTCTCTCTCTCTCTCTGCAGCTATATTTTCTGTCATGTTAATGTTAAGTGTATAGACAAAGCATTCAGAATCTTGTCCTCTTTCTTCTTATTTCTTGCAGATCAATACCTGAAAACCTTCCAAGTACAGACCAAGAAAGAGCATATCTTTTATCAAGTGAAACGTAGCCTGAAAGCTTTGCCTTAGATGAAATGTACTTTCAGGAGGTTAAATTTAGGAGCATAACGCACAAACAAGGTGCCACAGATAACTTGGACATCTTTGTCATAACACCCTGTTATGAATTTTTGGATTCCTGAGACCTGTGATGTACCACTCCGTTGTTAGAGAAAGAATGCCTTTTAAAGAAACATGTCTGTGGTAAAACCATTAGAGCTGTTTATGTCTGAGTGTCAGAGGGCTGGTGGACACAAGAAATATTTTGCACAACATGAAGCAACATATTGCACAAAGTGGTATGTTCTGTAATATTCTACTTTTGTACCTTAATGTCACTGATTGTCAGCATGATTTAAACCTTTGGATTAGATTTCTTTAGAAGTGCATTTTGTTAATATTTTTCAAAGAATATTATGCTGAAGTATTTAAGGAATATTATGACCTAAAACTAATTTAAAGTCACAAGTAATAAATACTATCGTTCATTAAAAAAATCTTGTTTATTTGGATAGTTTCTAACATTCCAACAGCAGTGCTTATTTTCCTACTGGGACTTGAATGGTGTGTTTGGTTCCTTGTAACACTGATGTAGAGTATGTACTGGTTTGTGTTCTTTGCCTCCATGAATATGGATTTTTCTCCATATTTTCAGAACGTCACTTTAAAGCTACAAGCAAGTTGAACATTTCCTAAAATCATATATGGGCAAAGTGCAACCATTAGGAGGTTCTTTGGCTTGCAGCTCAAAAGCTGCTCGCTGGTTCCCTCTCTTTTGTACCTCACCATGCTAGCTAGGGCTGAAGGAAGTTGGAGTCTGCTCACATCTGGAAGGTTGTGCTCTGCCCACCCCACCCGAAATGTAGCAGCCCTTCATCTAGAACAGTACTGGTGAACCTATGGCACGCATGCCACAGCTGGCACACACAGCCCTCTCTGTGGGCATGTGAGCCATCAGGCTAGTGGCTAACCTAGTCTTGTGACAGCACCAACCCTGCCTCGGCTTCTCCCCCACTGCTGAACCCTCCACGTCCCATTGTTTGTGTGAGTTGCCAGAGTCCCCATCTTTCCCTTTCCACCACACCCCTTTTTCTCTTGGCTCTTTTCTGCTTCCCTCTGAGGAATCGAGAGAGTGAAGAAGCAGCTGCCGCCATTTTGCTTGTGTGTGAGCAACTAAGGGGAGGGAGCCTCCAAGAGCTGGATGGGCAGAGCCTGGGAGAGGGGGAAAGCAGCAACAGGGATTTCTAGCAAGTTAAAGCCCCTGACTGGTCAGACCTGAGACAACCCAAAATCTTTGTTGTACACCCATACACTTTGACCCCCCCCCAATCCTGGGAACTCTGCTGCTTCCATCGGGACAACAACCCCTCCTTGTTCCTGCACAACAAGATGTGAAGCAGAGACTCCTGGAACTTAGCTTCATGGTCCTCGTCCTGGCTCCCTTCTTTCATTTTGTAGATTATAATTACTTTTAAATTTCCTATTTTACTGTCTTCCTGTGCTTCTTTTATATTTTTTGGACTTTTATAGATAACTGTACAGAAAAATAATTCAAAGTTTTAAGCAACACTGCTATTTTAATAATATATACCACAGAGTTAACAGTGATCCACAGTTAACTAGCTAAATAATATTTGTCACTTCTGTATTTATTTAACAAATAATTGACCAAATTAAAAGTTCTAATTGACAAATGTGCAGGGTAAATTTGCGGTAATTATGGAATCAAAGCTTTGTTAATATCCTATCCTTGACTGCTCTATTCAGCTCTTGCAAGCTGCCCAAAGCTTCAGTTATTGGGTGTTTTAGTAATAAAATAAATAAGTGAACAAACAGACCAACAAATGGAATCAAAGAAAAGTATTTGAGTGTAAACTTAGAGAAGCTTACACTCTAATTTCCAGTTTCACACTAAATTCAATAAACATATTACCCAAGAAACCGAGGTGTTGTGTCCTAAGGAAAACTGTAATAGTACCGTAAGATCTTTTTGTTATTGTTGTGTCCTGTCAGGTTGCCTCTCATTTATGATGACCTTATGAAAAAGTGATCTCCCAAATATCGTGTCCTCAACTGCACTGTTCAGCTCTTGTAAACTCAAGCCTGTGGCTTCCTTTAGAGAGTCAATTCATCTCATATTTGATCTTCCTCTTTTCCTGTTGCCTTCCACCTTTCCCAGCATTATGGTCTTTTCCAGAAAATCCAGCCTTCCCATGATGTGCCCAAGTAGGACAACCTCAGTTTCATCATTTTTGCCTCAAAGATAGTGATAGTGCCTCAGTATTCAGGTTTTATTGCAGTGTTGGCACTTCAAAATAAATAAGTTGGTTTTGTGTTGCAGTTTGAGCACTCGGGCTCAAAAAGATTTGCTATCACTGATCTAGAACATCAGTTGCCCAATATATTTTACTTTGTGAAAGTAAAATGGTTAACTGAGAATCACTGGTGGAAATTAGCAAGGAACAAAATAGCACCAGAGTTGAAAATGTGGGATCATTCTACTTCTTCTTTTTTTAAAAAGGAGCTGCCTTCTCCATCTTATTAGATGGAGCAAAATAGCCATCATTCTGATGGCTGGAGAGGAGAGAAGGGCCGATGTTGCTGGAGGTGCTGAGAAGGAGAGACTACCAAAAAGGAATATACAGTGAGCAGCTTTTGGGTGACCAAGTAAATGAAAGAAAGAATTAACAGATGTGGCACAGTTACTTTTTCCTACTTGTAACGGAACCCAGAGAACTTATTTTCTGGATTTCAACTGCCAAAATCCACCTGCCCAGTATGGCTAGTATAGGATTCTGGGAGTTTTAGTTTAGAAAATAACATTTCTAAGCTCTGGACTGGAGTGAATGGCAGAAAGGATGGCCAATTTTTGTACAATTTTTCTGCACCATCCATAAAGGGGTTGTGCTAAGCCTGAAGAAGTGGAATTTTTTCCATGAAAGCTTGCAATTTCTTTGATTTTTAGAGGTCCAATAAAAGGTATCATCCACTCTTACATTTGTGTCCTCTTGGGGACCACACAACCTTTTCCTTTATCTGAAGCATGGAGTGCCTTCAGGAAGATTTTTTCAGACAGAGTTAACCCTGTTCTATGATCCTGTTGATTATGAATCAGAGATCATTCTAAATCTGGGCTGCAACTCCCTTCTGCTGGGACTGATTCTCCTGAGGGGAAAAAAAATCCCCATTGTGACTGTCCTCTGATTTTGAAATACAGTTGTTTATCTTTCTAGCAGGACTCCTTAGACCTTAAATATATTTCCACATTCAGGAAGTTGCCAGCCTGTCACTCAAGAACTAGCCAAACAAGCCAGTTTAGCTTCATTCCAGGGACAGAACATGAAATTTTGTTGTCATCTGCCTAATCTAAAACTCTTCATTCTGTACCACTTCAACATTCATTACTTCTAATGGTGCCAAAAACGTACTCTGTGTATTTAGCATTATTATAATTCATTTTACATTCGTACGTAACGAGTAGATACGTGCTCCATTCCTTGTTAGTGAGATACTCTTGCACAAATCTGTTAGCTGAGTACAAGGTGCACTGTGTGTGACATGTGGCAATCACCCCAGTTTCACAATATGCCTGTGATGCAGAACTTTTTTTTTCTGAACTTAGAACTTCCCTATGCTTTGGGGATTAAATCACTTCTTCCCCTTTTGCTAACTCTGGCAACCTCCTAGTGATACTCATTTTGAACTACAGATCAGCTCCACAAGAATGACTGCCTTCCGGTTTCCCATTTATGCTCTAGTTCTGACTGGTATCATCCTCAGGGGCTTTGCCTTAGAGACCTTCCTTGCTGCTGTTTATGAGCATGCAGTTATACTATCAGGAGCCACTCCGGCCCTTGTCCCTCGAGAGGACGCCTTGAAGCTGATGAACAGAAACCTAGACATCTTGGAAGGTGCCATTAAAACAGCTGCTGAGCAGGTACAGTAGGTAGCTTAGGAAACAACCTTTCAAAAACCCGCAGGGCTTGTCTTAAGGTTATATATGTTTTGACCATTTTTCTTCTTTTTTTTCTCCTTAGGGTGCCCGCATCATTGTGGTCCCTGAGGATGGCATTTATGGATGGGTTTTCACACGAGAAACAATCTACCCTTATCTTGAAGATATACCAGATCCTCAGGTGCATTGGGTTCCGTGTGATGAGCCCAAAAGGTATTCTCTGCCTTCCTTCCTCTGCTTAGAGATATAGTAGAAATGGAGCAGTTCCTGGGGTACATTCTCAACAGCATGTAGTCTTTATTTAGTAGCTCTGTAACAAATATACTTCTCAGTAGTTGTGGGGTACATCTAGAGTCAAGAATACAAACAGGTGTTCCTCGGTACTGTCAGTTTTAAAAAAAATCAGTTTGTGGATCTTTTTCCTCCTTAACTTTTTCCTTCTTTACTATTTGTTTAGCATGAAAGGAGCCAGAAAAATAAGTAGGAAAACATGGGGGGAGGAATTACAGGTGGACCTCCCAAGAAATACTGAGAATGATGCAAAACAACTGCAAAGGAAAGGGACAATCTGCAAGCACACTGGGTGAAGTCATTGTGGGGTTTCCTGCCAGTTCTTGGAATTTGTACAGAATGGGGAATCCAGACAGCACTAGTCATTTTAAATACAGGATGCCGTATGTTCCCAGTTAGTTAATTAAGGATAACTGTACAAAACTGTTGACTTGATATGTTGCCAAACTGAACACACTGTTTTGGGATTGCATCTTTGCATTTTATTTGAGTAGTGTTGTTGTGGGAAGTACACTGATACAGTAAATGAAATCAATAGGATAGATATGGCCTGTAAAGGATTTTCTGTGAAGTCTCCAGCTGCACTTTATTTACCATCAAATGCTATTCAAAGAGGGAGTCTGAAAATGTCAGGACCTGCCAGTCTTAACACTGGATTCTCTTGAGTTTTGTTCTAAGTAAATATAGTTAGAAGCAGACTGCACATTTCTTAAAAACAATAAGTTATTAATGCTGATGTGGTACAACTTTAAAAATTCTGGAGTTCAGTAAATACAGTAAATCTGTTTCCCCTGTTTATCTCAGAAGATGGCAGTATAGGGACAGCTTTCCTACAGGTCATGTAGCCTTCCATGCATTCTGGAGTCTGGCTCTGTGTATTATTATCAGCTAATAATATTTAGATGTAATTAAGCAGTGCTGTTAAAGAAACAAATATAATGTCTGCTCCTGGCCTGACACGTATCCAGCAAAGGGAGCTTGCAAGCTAAGGCTAACTTGGAACAAAATGACAAGTTGGAACAATTTTCATTTTTTTAAAAATGGGGTTGGAGGGAAAACTGGTGTAGACTGCTATCTATCCTTTGCACACTTTCTTGGGAGTAAGCCCCACTGAATTGAATAGGACTTATTTCTAAGAAGACATGCCTTAGAACTACATGTGTAATCGACATTTTAAATTCAAATTTTGTTGCTCCAGTGCAAACACCTATTGACAAAAACATTTGCAAACACAGTATCAATTTTTGGACAAATACTACCGTGTGGTGCTGTTCCATCAGTGAAACAGACCCGTTGGACTGTGGCAGACTGTGTGCAGAGCTGCAGCTGCTGTAACTATAGCAGGAAGTCAAATCAGATGTAGAGAGATTCTGTTTCAGCAGGCTGAACTTTTCCCAGTGTGTTGGAACAGAAACAGTCCACAGAGCTCAAAAAAAAGAGGAGAAAGGAGAAAGATTATCAGTGAGTATAGAATTGCCAGCAGGTGTAGAAAGGACACTACAGATCAATATCCTTAAAAAAGGAGTTCCAAATAGACCTTTCTGGAAAGGACACAATGAGTCCAGAATAGAAGCATGAGTGCCACTGACCAAAAAGCTAAGGATAAATAAATATGAGTAAACTTTGAACAACAAATATTAAAGAGCAGTAGTAATGCAAATGAATATTACTCAACTGCCTTAAAATAGTAACAGGTGAGTCTTGTTTGTTCAACAGTAATGCAAATGTTTGCTCAAACTCTTAATCAGAATGAATAAATCAGCTTCTCCAAAGCCTGCACCATTTGTTCTCATAGTAGTCCTTTTTATTAGTATAGAGAAGATGGTTTATATTGTAACAAGTCTGACAAGCATGTAGGCAGCTGACTCTTAACATCATTTTACTGCCTGGACCATCTGCTGCCAGTTGGACAGAAACGTGCTTCTGTATGAAGTTTTAATCCCTCACAGAATTGGTGACTTTCATTTCAGGCTATAAGCTGAAGGTTACCTATCATATACAGCCTGTATGTTGGAGAGCAGGCTGAATCAGCATATAGACAATTTGTTTCTTGGTTTTTAGTTCAAACATCCGTCGCTACTACTGCAATAATGAACTGCAATATGGCACCATTTCATTGTTGCTCTAAGATGTCCTTGAAATTATTTCCATGAATTACTTTCAGATTTCCATCCAAGATATCTCCACTTTGAGAAATGATCTCTTTACAGCCTTTAAGATTTCTGCATCAACCAACATTTTTAACGTGCCTGTGCTGTATCTCTTCTTTTCCGCCTTCACACTCACAAGAAAAGTTAAGTTTTGTGGACTGCAAATTCGAGACCCCTGGAGACAGCATGGCCACTGGAGGACTCTGGAAGTTATGGTCCCCAAAAAGTTGTTTCCAAACTCTGATTTAATCCTCATGTTCCAAATCCTCAGGTTACAGCTATGTTATGATTTCACACACACAAAGCACCAAACTTTAATGGAATTTGTCATGGTCATTCAATGTTAGGTTTGGACTAAACCCAGTACAGGAAAGACTCAGCTGCATGGCAAAAAATTATTCCATCTATGTGGTTGCCAACATGGGAGACAAGAAATCATGTAACTCCAGTGATCCCAAATGTCCCAGCGATGGCCGCTACCAGTACAACACAGATGTTGTTTATGATTCAGAAGGGAAATTTGTGGCGCGTTATCACAAGGTAAGCGTTATTCTCCATTCAGTCAATAATTGGTTCCTCTAAACAAATGAGAAAAGCAATTCACATTGCTCTGCTTCAGGATAGGCAACTTCCAGTGTCCTTGGGGATCACACATACCTGCCTTGGATCTTGGGGCCGACTTTCATTTGTATATCCTCAGATTTTTAAAAATTCCACTGAGTAAGTCTCCTTGTTTCCCTCAGGAGGGAGCTATTTTGTCTTCGACTATTTTCTCTCTCCTTCCTTCTTTCTTTCTTTCCAGTTGATACTCTCCTAAGTGACATTAACAGCTTTGAAAAAAAAAGTCCTCCCTCAGCATAAAACACCTAGAGGGGCAAAATACAGCAAAATTACCTACCTCTGCTCTATGTGAATGAGAGGAAAAGTGTGCTTCTACTCTTCCACCTAAAAATCTAGCTTGAATGGACCTTTTATTGTTTAGACCACTGCACGCACACAATGCTTGATCTGTATCATCGGGCACAAATGCAAAGTGCATTTTTTTCCATCAGCAAAGAACAAATTGCATGTTTTTAGATTCCAGATTCTATATTCCAGTTCTACTGTATATTGTGGCAGTACAGTGGTGCCTCGCTTAACGAGTGCACCATATAGCGATGTTTCCGTATAGCGATCCCTTTTTCGGGATCGCTATACGGAAACATACCCGATCTTCGCAATGGGGAAAACCCGCATTGCGAAGATCGGGTATTGCGGCGGCCATTTTGGAGCCGCCGAACAGCTGATCGGCGGTTCCAAAATGACCACCGGAAGCCCGGAAATGGCTGCCGGCAGCCGTTTTCGCGCCCTGCCCTCGCTTAGCGAAGGCGCGAAAATGGCTGCCGGCACCTGGAATCCTCGCTGAACGGGTAAGTAACAAAGGTATTGGAACGCATTAAACGAAGTTTAATGCGTTCCAATACATTTCCCCTACCCATTTAGCAATGATTCCGTATAGCGAGGGCACCATACGGGGCACCACTGTATCTTTACGCTGAAACAAATCCAATTACAAAAGAGGATACAAGTTTTCAGGTTCTTCAGAACTCTGTATCAAACTAGATAATGAATCCAGCAATAAAGGAGGGGAGAAAGGAGGGCAAAAAGCTGCTGACATTGAAGGCTGAGTTACACGTTTAAGGATGTGACTCCTCTTAACTGAGAAGTGTGAAAAGCTTGTATTGTGACAGTCAAACATCTTTCAGCACCTTGGTCTTCTAAGGACATGCTCTCTATGACATCTGTTTTACCCCTAAGTCTTAAGATGGAATGTGGATGGGGGATTCAGACACTCAGATTAAGTTACACTAGGTGCTGTGAGCATGTAGACCTGCTGACTTGAAGAAATGCTGAATTCATTTTTGAAAATATAAGACTCAGCTCTTACCTTGTGTTTGTTTTAATAGTTACATTTGTAAACTCATGACTGCTTTCTCAGTTCTAAAGACAAGTCAGGTGGCTAATGTTCTATTTAAAACAATAGCCTTCAAACTGCTTTTTTTCTGGCTTTTCTGAATAATTTTTCCCTTGATTTCCCCCCTGTCTTATAAACAGTACAACCTTTTTGCATCAGAAATCTACTTTAATTATGCAAAGGAACCACAGTTTGTTAACTTCGACACGCCCTTTGGGAAGCTTGGAGTTTTCACTTGTGCTGATATACTTAACTTTGGGGAGCCTGCTGTATCATTGGTGGAGAAATTCAAGGTGGACACTGTCCTGTTCCCAACGGCCTGGACGAATACTCTGCCCCTTCTCTCTGCTGTTCAGTACTACTCAGCCTGGGCTATGGGGATGCGTGTCAATCTCCTCGCAGCTAATATACACAAGCCGCACCTGGATATTACTGGTAATTGCAACCTTCAACTACTCTGGCAGCTGAGAGCAAGATATTTATTTTATTTATTTATTTAAAATATTCCTATGCCACCCAATGCGGCTTGCATTACTAAAACAATATTTAAAGCTAAAACAGTAAGTATGCAAATACTTAAAAAAAGATGAAACAAGTACTATATGAAAAGGATAATTAACATCAATATTAAAACAACAGAGCACAGCAGTCCATTTAAACCCCCCTCAAAGCAAGATATTTATTTTATGTATTTATTTAAAATATTCCTATGCCACCCAATGCGGCTTGCATTACTAAAACAATATTTAAAGCTAAAACAGTAAGTATGCAAATACTTAAAAAAAGATGAAACAAGTACTATATGAAAAGGATAATTAACATCAATATTAAAACAACAGAGCACAGCAGTCCATTTAAACCCCCCTCAGAAGACCAGTCATTAAGGAAAAGCCTGCCTGCAGAAAGACAGCAAAGATGGGGCCAGCCTAGCTTCCCCTGGGAGGGAATTCCAGAGTCTGGGAGCAGGAACAGAGAAGGTCCTCTCCTGTGTCCCCACCAAACACACCTGTGAGGGCGGTGGGACTGAGAGGAAGTCCTCCCTTGATGATCTTATTACCCAAGCAGGCTCGTAGAGGGAGATGTGGTCTTTTAGATAGCTTAGACCTAAGCCATTTAGGGCTTTATAGGTTAAAACCAGCACTTTGAATTGTGACCAGAAACGGATGGGCAGCCAGTGGAGCTGTTGTAATGGGGTGTGTGTGTGTGTGTCACATGTTCCCTGTAACCAGCCCCAGTTAATGATCTGGCTGTGGAGATTTGGACCTGCTGGAGTTTCCAAACACTTTCCAAAGGCAGCCCCATATAGAGTGTGTTACAGTGATCCAAATGAGATGTAACTAGGGGATGTGTCACCGTGGCCAGATTAGACCTCTCAAAGAATGGGCGCAGCTAGTGCACTACTTTTAACCATGCAAAGATGCTCCTGGCCACTGCTGAAACCTGGGCATCCAGGCTCAGAGATGAATCCTCCAAGCTGCGTGCCTGTGTTTTCAAAGGGAGCATAACCCCATAATGTGTGGAAGGGAGAGAGGAACACAGAGGAAAGCATGATTCATTTCAGTGTTACTCTTTGGACTAAAACTGAAGTCTCTAAGGGGATTTGGGGAGTTGTAGTCTCAAAAATAACATATCTAAGCTCTGATTACTTTAAGAACAGCTAATGAAAATGTTGCATTTCCTAATGGCTTTATTAGATACCAACATTATTTTTTTTAAAAACTGTGCTTCTGAAAACATAATCAAGAATCTTCTATCACTTTACAGACAGATTTTACAGACTTTTTTGTTCACACGATAATAGCTACAGCAGTCTTTAAGGTGCCAGAGGCCACTCTCTTGTTTTTGGGTTTTTTTTTTCTGAAACACACAAACATGGATCAGATAAACATAAGCTGGTCATTTAGGTGTTGAAGTCATAACTATGGACTTCCTATGTGGTTCTCTCAAGTCAGGGGATTGGCATACAATGACTTCACAAGCAACACCTTTGCTGCATTTGTTAGATATGGGTGGAATGTGGCACTTGGAATAAGTGGCAAACACCATTTTCCGTAAAAGGAAAATTTATTCATTATAGGATGTCCATTGGAAGATAAGGAGATAAGCCTGGAATGCTGTGGCTAACTCCAGATCTAGGAAAGAGAGGGTTTGGACTGAGAGAAGGAAGTGACAGACAAAACAAGGACATATCAGGTAATTCTAGCTCTCTGGTCTAGTTGGACTGAGAGAAGGAAGTGACAGATTAGGCCAGACAAAACAAGGACATATCAGGTAATCCTAGCTCTCTGGTCTAGAGGGGTGGGGTATAAATAAATAAATAAATAAATAAATAAATAAATAAATAAATAAATAAATAAATTTCTAGCATTGTTACGCCATGTAGGAATGTAGTCCTTCTTCGGACAAGCAGGTCCTACCCTCTTCTAGTTGTGTTAAGAATAGAAACTAATTTGTTTGCTTATTTCTATATCTTCAGATTGTCACCTGGGTGATAAGACATTGGGTAACTTTATGCATGATTCTCAGAAGCGTCTTTCAGCTTTTCTCTGGCTGTTTATGTGCATTTGAGAGTATTAATACAGCACAGAAAGTGAAGTACCTTCAGATATCTGGCCCACCGGACCACTCTAGGCGGCTTCCAAATATAAAATCAAATAATAAAACATAGACAAATACATAATAATCAAACAAGAACAGCAGTAAAAATAAAAAGGAAAAGTAAGAAAAAAATCAAGAGTTGGCTGGAGGGAAGGCCTGAATAAACAGCCATGTTTTTAATTGGGTTTCAAAGGTGCCCAGCGTGGGGGCCGTGCGAATCTCCGGAGGGAGATTGTTCCAGAGCACCTTTCAAGGCTGGCTGGATTGCTATCTGGCTGTGAAGCCAGATTTGGAAGTTCAACTCTCCACTGTGCATCCCAGCCAGCCTGGGTGGCTTTGGGCAAGCTTCACAAGGAGGATGCCCCCAAGAAGGGAATAGTGAAGTACTCTCTATTTAGAAAACTCTGAAAAGTTTAATTAAGTTAGGAGAACAAAGGGTTAATGGTAACCTCAGTTCCCTCAAAACAACAAAACAAAAAGAAGCAGAGAAAGAGAGAAAGAAGCGGAAAAAGAAAAGACATGTTTAGCCTTTATAATCTATGGAAAATAATAGGACAAAACATGGTTCTATTACCATCCACATCAAATCTGCTTAGTGCAATTCATAACACACTTTTTTCCACGAGAAATTAGTTTTCCCAACAGCTTGTGTTTAACAATGTACTTGGAAAATGTATTTTTCAAAACTATAGTTCCTAAAATCTCCACAGTCACCATGACAGCTTGGCGCAAATTCTTCTGTCACCCACAGGAAGCGGTATCTTTGCACCTGAGGGTCCGAAGGTGTATCACTTCGATTTGGAAACACAGAATGGCAAACTCCTGCTTGCAGAACTTGACGTATATCCCCGCCTCTCACCCACCTATCCTCCCCGAGTCAACTGGAGCTTATATGCTACAAGTGTCAAACATTTCTCACCAGAAAGCCAAGTGTTTACAGGAAGCATATATTGTGATAACTTCACCTTCACGGAATTGTCACAAGAAGCAGGAAACTTCACCGTCTGCCAGAATGGCCTCTGCTGCCACCTGAGCTACAAGATGACAGAAAAGCGAAAAGATGAAGTTTACGCATTTGGTGCTTTCGATGGGCTTCATGTGGTTGAAGGAGAATATTATTTGCAGGTAAAGGATTTAGAGAAGTACAATAAGCAATCTGTGAAACATTATTCTTATCCATAACTTGGAAGTAATGCATCGTAAGTTGTGATTTTGTTTATTTTATTTTTATTTATTTTAAACCATTTTTTTACCCTGCATTTCTTCTTAAAAAGAATCCTGGAAGCTTACATCATTGAAAGGCAATATATAAAGCTAAAAACAGTAAATATACAAATACTAAAAAATAAATATACCACACTAAAAGGCAGTAAAGAAGGGCAACACCAAAAATGTATTCAAAGCAGGAAAGCACAAGTTTCCATTTAAAAAACCCATTCAGGCAGAAAGTCAATTAAAGCTTGCCTAAAGAGAAAGGTCTTTGCCTGCTTGTGGAAGGATTGTAAAGATAGGAGCAGCCTGACCTCAAGTGGGAGGGAGTTCCAAAGTCTGGGAGCAGCAAGAGAGCAGGCCCTCCTACATGGGCCCCTGTTACTTGTAATGCACTGCTCTTGGGGCAGGGGGCAACAAGGGGGCGGTAATGTTACTTTGAAACTTAGGTTTGAAAATCTGTTGGATGGTTGATATTTCACCAAACAGTGACACATCATCTCATAATAACACTGGCAGAGTGCTTTGTGGAAATGTGAGGCATTTTTATTTGTAAAAATTCTCTTTTCAAGCTAATATATTATAAATAAGTAATGTTATTCATTCCTTGTGAGTAACAGGTAATGAGGAATGTTTTTAAAAGGAACACTAACACAATCATTTTAAAATGCTGTTACCAAGCTATGTCTCTATGTAGAAAATGCTCCCATTGATACTTGTATTGTGTCAAACTCAGTGAAGCAGAGCTGATTCTGTTGTCAAGCAGTGTGAGGTATCTGCTTCAGGTTGCAGATACTGGAGTATTTTGAAAGGGGAACAATTTGTTATCTAATTGGTTATTATTGTTTGTCTAATGCTAGGGAAGGGAAAACAGGTATCTTGAAACAGGTATTTATTGTTAAGACAATAAAACTGTTGTAATAAAAATTACAGTGATAATATTCAAATTATGATTCTAAAAAACACCCACATAGGTGATAAAGCAACAAAATAAGCAGCCCTTGTACAGAATACAATGCCCCTCTATGCCTTCATGTTGAGTATTATTTCATCCTACCTTTACTTCTTCTTGAATTTAAAAGGTGTCATGTAACATTTTCAGAGAAGTAGTCTTGATAATTTTTGTCAACAACAAAAACAGCAGCGGAAACAAATAAACATTGGCACTTTCAACATAAACAAATTTCATTTTGATCTGTCATGGATTACAGGCTGTTTTGAGGTATGTAATCCATCAAACCTCACAGTGAAATGCATGTATTTGTCTTAAAGTGCAATACTTTTGTTTTTTTGCTTTCTATTTAAGCTTTCAAAAATAATTCCTATTGATTCCCCCTGAGGGAAGAAATCAACAAAAGACTCGATTACTGTTTCTCCAAGTAATAAGACAAAATGAAACTATTACTATCTGAAAATAAAAAGAACTATGTACTGTACTAGTAAACATAGAAACCACAATGAAAATTTAAGAATTTATGCCAAAGGCTGGTGCCCAGTTATGTTATTCTACCGGTGTAAGGCTAACTGTAATTGTGCATTTTCAGTGTTAGTGCTAGAGCAGTATCCAATATGGATTTGGTGTGTGAACATTTGTACAAATGATTGCTCAATGTATTTTAAATTAATGTGATGCCATATGACTGCACTAGTAGGGATTTTCATTCTGCTACTACTCTGCTGGATTTAGGCCTACTTTTGCCTATTTTCCTGTTCAAAATCCCTTCTTTCCTCTATTAAAAATGTGCTTGCCAGCAGTAGGGACTATCTGGTTTTTCTTGATCTTGTATAAGGCAATTTGGGACACTGAAAAGTAGGCTAACATTGTTTTAAATAAAGAATTGTGCAGTCTGAGAGTCAAACTGGATGTTAACAAGATTGTGTATTCACTACAATTAGCATGTTCTCTCTTCTGACAATGGGATATCCATACATATGTATGTCTCAGCTACCAAGCATGTCAATTAAATCTGTTTTTACCTTCTGATAACCAGTTACAAAACAAAAGATGCTTGAATGCACTATAGAGGAGGTGAGGAAAAGCATGTGCTATAATAAACAGATGGCTTTCACCATGGAACATGGGAGCATTGCTTCTAAATGTGTGCTGAATATGATGTCTACTTTAAAACTTAGAGTCCAAAGCCCAGTGGTACCAATGTTAGACTGTGCATTGTTTTCCTGTTCTGTGAACACAAGTGGTTTTCCTATTACTTTGAACGACTTAATTCCATTAACATCCTACTCCTCTCTCTTTCCATAGATATGTACATTTCTGAAATGTAAGAGTACAGACTTGAAATCATGTGGGCAGCCAGTAGATACTGCTCATACAAGGTTTGATTCCTTTTCTCTCAGCGGCACATTCAATACCAGTTATGTATTCCCTGAAGTCTTGCTTACAGAGACTCAACTGGCCCCGAGAGAATTTCAGGTGAGTGAGGAACTCAAGTTGCTTCAATGTTCAACACCAACCATGAGAACAGCGGGGGGGGGGGGATTAATAAGACATTTAAATTAAATACATATATTCCTATTAAGAATAGTAGTAAAGATACAGTCACTATGTATAGCTTTTTTTTGTACTTGCTACTTGAGCCTCCCAGGGAAGTAAGAGAGATGGGTGAGGTGAGTTTCATTTCTTCACTATACCCATCACCAGGGATGGGGAAAGTGACCCACCAGGTGTCATCAAGCTGCAACCCCCACATCACCCCTAAGCAGTGTAGTCAATGACTGCAGGGGAAGGGGGAGACAATCTCCCTTAAAGTGATTTTTCTGTGTGGGAATCATTTCAGCCTAGCCCCCCCCAGAAAGGTCCAGCTTGGGCACAGATCTCTACTGCCTATATGTTGTGTAAATGCTGGGAAATAGCTCAGAATGGACGGTGCCAGAAGCAGTCTAAAGTGTGGGCTAATTCTGTTTGATTAGAGTCATTTAAAAGTTATTTAGTTCTAAAAGAGATAAAAGAGCTAAACTCTCTTTAACACCCAAATAACTTTAAGGAAACGAAACTGAAGAGGTAAATAGTGTGAAACTGACTAGATGTTGTGGAGATGCTGCATAGATAACAGAAACTATGTTTTGCAGCAGCAATTCTCAGCGACTTTCTTTTCAACCCTACTAAGAGGGCAACTACATTGACAAATAATACTGAAATTATTCAGGAATTGGGATGGTTAGATTTGTATCATATTTCTTGACAACACAATGTACAGATCAATGCAAATTACCACACACACCCCCAACCCGAATGTTTTTCCTTTCCCACTGGGGCTTCTACCTTTATTTTTTCAGTGAATGCATAATCAATGCGAATTGCCACACACACACCCAACCCAAATGTTTTTCCTTTCCCACTTCTACCTTTATTTTTTCAGTGAATGCATTTCCGTTAGTTCAGACCATATAATTGTTTGTGCCAATGCATATGCTTTGCTCCTTCAAATGGAAGGGTTTGTGGCTGTTCTAGTTCATGCCATCCTACCCAGCTGCAGCAGCAGTGCAGCAGTAGTGACATCACATTTGCACTATACAAATTTTTCTAGTTGTACTCTGAGTCTTAATAATCACTTAATTAAACCCTTAATATAATTTTTTAAACTCCATAGAATCTTACTATAACAATAATAAGTAATAAATTTTAAACTTCATAGAATCTTATTATAACATTATAAGTAATAAATTAACTAGTAATAAATGAATGTAAATATTAATGAAATTCTAGTACATTATTTACGATGATTTACAACAGTGTATCAAAATTACTTTTTATCTCCTTCAGAAATGAAATATTAATCTGCCACTTTGGTCACATTCTTTCCACTTCAGCCCATGCCCTCAAGGAGGGCAACCCTTATGACGATAGCAAATCCGAAAAATAACCTTCAGGTCATCTGGGTTTATCCACCTTCAGCTACACTAAAAATTGGGCAAAGAGAGGCAAGAGGGTGCCAGTTTTCCTTCCTTGTAACAAATAGTTAACCAGGTTTGTTTCATGGTATTCTGTATGCCATCTGCTAAATGTAAGACCTTAGTGGCAGCTCCCAGGAAGGCCGATTCACAAGAAGGAACGATGGCCACCCATCCAAGTTTTCCTCTGCACAATGAATTCACAAGAAGGAACGATGGCCTCCACCCATCCAAGTTTTCCTCTGCACAATGTTTTATCTAAATGTTCTGTCTTTTAGGTGCTGCCTGATGGACGTTTGATTAGCAACGACAGTATTTCAAAGCCAGTCTTATCTGTGGCTCTGTTTGGAAGATGGTATGAGAAAGACTCTCTACATCCACTGTACACGTCACCATGAAATTAATCTTCATTACTTTGCTTCGTTTGTCACCTTACCAGCATTCTCTCCTCTAGTCACTTCTGTTATGTCTCTTTTCCTGAGCCTGGTGTACATTTGTGTGTGTAGAGCAGAAACCAAAATAAACAGTATTTCATTGTTGGACAAACCAGACTGATTGCATTAGGAGCAATTATCAGCTATGAGCATGGATTAATACAATAAACCCATGTACACTTTCCGTTTTATTGCCATATCCCATAACCAGGAATGTGTGATAAGCAACAAAGAAATACTTTGCCTTGAGATTTTGTTATTACGTATAACTGAGATTCCTACAGCATGCTCAGTATCTATTGTAAAGTGTGTGTGTGTTGCCGGGGTGGGGGAGGGGGGAGGAATTATGACAGTCTTTAGTCCAGACTGTAAGTAGTCAGACAACTAATCTTTAAACTTTGCTGTCCAGGGGAAATCTATATTGCTTTGGTGCTACTTGAAACTGCACATTTTGAGATGCCTAAATTTCCACCTTTCTTTCTTGTTCCTTAGGAACACTTGAGAACAGGCTTTTCTCCGCGCAGCCACCTTGCCCCTCTCACATCCTTTTTGGATGGAGGGGCAGGCAGCATCCTCTTCTGCTTGTAACTTTCTCTTGTTTTTCCACTGCTGACTATCTTTTGATTAACAGACTCCATCTAAAAGTACCTTGAGTTATGTTGGAATGCTTGAAGGGGAACATATAGCCAATTCACCCCATACTTTATAAGGTCACCGTGACACCTAGACTGTCTTTTTTCCTGGACCAAACAATGTGTGAGTTTATACTTTTCTTGCCCTGTGCATATCCCACTCTGGCTGCTTTGCACTGGCTGCCCATCCGTTTCCGCATTGATTTCAAAGTGTTAACGATTACATACAAAGCCTTAAACGGTTTGGGACCTCGATATTTGGCAGATCGTCTTCTTCCACCTCGATCTACTTGAATCACCCAGCAGGGACGGCTGAGGGGCCTAACGCCAAGAGAGGCCCAGAAGGAAAAAACAAAAAACCAGGCCTGGCACCCTCGCCCCCCTCAGCAATGGAACACCCTCCCAACTGAAATCTGTCTGGCACCCTCGCTGGGTGTTTTCAAAAGCCATTTAAAAACTTGGCTCTTCAGGCAGGCCTTCCCTTCAGTCAATTAATTGGATCCTTTATTCTTTCTCAAGTTATGCCATCTTGGTAATGTGCTGTATAGTAATAAGTGTTAAAACTGTGTTTTAGATGATTTTTATATTGTCATATTGTTGTGTTTTTATCCATGTAAGCCACCCCAATTAGGCATTGTCTACTGCGGAGGGGTAAAATGTATAAAAATAAATAAATAAAATAAAAATAAAATATGACTGATAACATTAACCAAAAATGAAATGAAGCTAAGCCCCATTCCCTCAAGTCTTACTAAGCAAACATACTTAATGTTCTAGCTCCTTGGTCCTTAGCTGCTCTTCCCATGTGCAAGAGTCATGTTTGGGCTCCAGTTGTGTGGTTCAGAGACTTCATGGTTTCATTGTCCAAAGATAAATGGCTTCTTAAATTCATGTAAAATTGTAATTATGTATTTGAAATGTGTTCTGCTTTCAGGCTAGAAAGCTATATATGAAATGTGTTTCTGTTTGTTGTATGTCACCATGAATGCTTAGCTTAAGAGGAAAGGGGACTCACATACTTTGAATAAATGTTTTGAATTTTCTTGTGTGTTTTTCAACTTCTCCCTGCTTAAAATAAATATCTCATTTATTTTTTTCTGGCTTATTTTAATATATATATTTAGAAACTCTAAAGCACAGTATTTTTATAAACTATCAGCACAATGTGCTGTAGCAAGTAAACCTCAAAAGAAGAGGAACTGTTGACATGTCAAGGCCTCTTATGCTACAAGCAAGAGGGTCAGCCCTACCCTTAGGTAATATGAGGTGGCCGCCTCAAACAGGTGATTTTGAATGTTATGAAAGGAGACCAAATTATTAATTATTACTTTTGGAATTTCACTCCCACACAAAGACATTTGTGGAGTTTTCTTTCTCAAGGGCCAAAATAGATTAGCCAGACTTGATTTATTATGCACTTTGGTGTGGGAAATGGTGCACCTGGAGGGAAAATTAAACACAGAAATATAGAAAAGTGAAGTTGGAAGGGGCTTACAAGGCCATCAAGTGGAACCCCTGCTCAGTGCAGGAATACCATCAAAGTATATCTGCCAGGTGATTATCTAATTTTTTCTTGAATGTCTCCAGTGTTGGAACACTCACCAACTCCCGAGGTAACTGGTTCCACTGTCGTACTGCTCTAACAGGATGTTATTCCTGATATTCAACCGAATTCTGGCTTCCTTTAACATGAGCCCATTGTTGTGTGTTCTGCACTCTGGGATGATCAAGAACAGATCTTGCCCCTCCTCTGTATGACAGCCTTTCAAATATTTGAAAAGTGCTATCATATCACCCCTCAGACTTTTTTTCTCAAGGCTAAACATGCCCAATTCTTTCAGCCTTTCCCCATAAGTCTTGGTTTCCAGCTCCCCGATCATCCTTGTCACCCTTCTCTGAACTTGTTCCAATTGGTTAGCATCCTTCTTGAAGTGTGGAGTCCAGAACTGGACACAATAATCAAGGTGAGGACTAACCAGTGCTGAATAGAGGGGGACTTGCACCTCACGGGATTTGGAAACTGTACTTCTATTAATGCAGCCTAAAATAGCATTTGCCTTTTTTTGTAGCCACATCACATTGTTGGCTCATATTTAGCTTGTGATCTACAACAATTCCAAGAACCTTCTCGATCATAATATTACTGAGCCAAGTATACTCATCTTGTATTTGGCTTCTTTTTCCCCACGTGTCGAACTTTGCATATATCCCTGTTAAATTTCATTCTGTTGTTTTCTACACCTACCCAGTTTCACCATCTGGAGCCTAGGACTGAGCCTTAGAGTATCCCACTTGTTACCTCCTCCAAGTTTGAGAAGGAGCCATTAATCATCACCCTCTGAGTATGATTCTGTAGCCAGTTGTGTATCCACCTGACACTTGATCTATCCAGCCCACACCTAGTTTGCTTGCTAATCAGGATCTCATATTTGACTGTCAAAAGTCAAGATATGCTATGTCTAAGCATTCCCTCTATCTATCAGGGAGGTTACCTGATCAAAAAATGAGATCAGATTACTTTGGCAGGATTTGTTCTTGACAAATCCGTGTTGGCTTCTAGTTATTACTGCCTTGTTTTCTAGGTGCTTGCACAACGACCACTTTACGATCTGTTCCAGAATTTTGCCTGGGATTGATGTTAGGCTGACTGGCCTGTAGTTCCCAACTTCCTCCCCCCCCTTTTTTTTAAAGATAGGGACGACATTAGCCCTCCTCCAATCTTCTGGCACACCTCCTGTTTCCTATGATTTCAAGAAAATAACGGATAGCGGTTCTGAGAGTTCTTCAGCCAGTTCCTTCAGTACTCTCGGATATAGTTCATCCAGCCCTGGAGATTTGAACTTGTTCAATGTGGTAAGGCATTGTTTGACTATTAGTTTATCAATCTCCAGCTGTAATCCTGTCACCCCCACTTGCACTTCCAATTTGTTTGGAAGTTCATAGTCTGTCTAATGGGAAAAGATGAAACTAAGATAGGAATTGAGCACCTTCACCTTTTCTTTGTCATCTGTTATCATTTTTCCATCTCCATTGCGGAGCTGTGCCACTATGTCTTTTGTTTGACTCTTGCTATTCACATACCCAAAGAATGCTTTTTTATTGCATATACTTCTTTATCTCCTGTTATGGCATCAGTTAAATCCTGCCTTTGGTGAACCAAATATTCGGCCACAAGGGCAGTTTTAACTTCCCTCCCCTCCAACAATATGTTTGTATGTGAGAGATTATGTTGGAAACTACCCAGAGCACTATGGGGTGGCATATAAGTTGAAACAACAACAACAACAACAATGTAGTGGCATAGTGAGATCTCCTGATGGAATGGAAGGAACATACAAGCCTGTAACATCTACAGGACCAACTATCCCATTCACTTTCCCATTAAGAAGAACAATAAAGATCTCTAGCTGCCTATAGTTCTCAGTTTGCTGTTCTTTTGCTCTGCTCTGGATCTCTGATATCCCACCCCAAAACTATTCATTATGCCTTCCATGAGAAAGAAAGAAAGAAAGAAAGAAAGAAAGAAAGAAAGAAAGAAAGAAAGAAAGAAAGAAAGAAAGAAAGAAAGAAAGAGGCATAACTGAGTTGCCTAACACAGATCAATTTAAAATGAAACACAAGGCTGAGAGGCAATCCATCCTATTTGTTGGACAAAGAAGAAGGGAGACAGGTACACCAATACAATCTCAAGTCAGACACTAAGTCTCTAGCCTACATGGCAAGTAATGACTATTTCTTGAACAGGACACTTATTAAATGGGATTATATCCACACGGACCATGGCAACATCAACTGCCAGCCTCTTTGTCATATGTTGAATGTAGATGAAATATCTGACTGCCTGTTCCTGGGATTTTTCTTGCTTCATTCAGCCAAGACTGGTGACCACATAAGTTTGGAAGTCTCATCTGGAATCAAATCATGAGTTTTCATCAAAGTGATCTAATACCTAGTAGGCATCCTTCAGTCTCAAGAGACTATGGTAATGTGCTCTTAATAGAAGTCTTGGAACAACATCTAGTGTGGCTGTGACGGCCAATTCAAGAGTGACAATCCCTTCCACATTGAAGACAAATCCAATCTGTCCCCTGTCCAGCTCCCTGATTTTGCTGCTTTCGTGCCTGCCTCTTTGCCTTGGCCTGCTGGACAAGGGTCTCTTCAAATTAGGAAAGGCCATGCTGCATTGCCTGCCTGCAGGCTGAATGCTCAGGTGTCAAATACTCTAAAGAAGCAAATAAAAGCTTAAGGAAGTGATCTCTACATGATGAGTCCCTAAATCATGCAACTATTTTAGGAGGCTAAACTCACAGTTTAGTAAATTTGGGTCATCTGAAAGAATCCTTTCTGAGGCCCTAAAATGTACTTTACACACCTGTGTGCAAATCTGGCATTTCAAATTCATCTCCCTTAGAAACAAGGGAGAAGAAGAAAGGAACAGAAAAAGAAAGGTGTACCTCTGGGGTCTGCTCACATGCCCGTTGTCATGTCTCTCCTGAAACTTCCTTGCCACTCTATTCAGTCACTATTAGTGCTCTCCCCCCCCATGCCTTATCTACTTCATCCCACTACACCAGAGGTCGTCAACCCCTGGCCCGTGGCCCAATACCGGTCCGTGGCCTGAGCTGGACTGGGCTGTGAAGACAGGCCTCCCACCCCCCTGCACGTACTCCCCTCCCCATAGATGTTTTGCACACATGTGCACGTGCCAGTGCTGGCATGAGTGATCCGCCACCCTTTCATGCATACACCTGAGTGTCCACGCTAAGGGGTGGGCGGGCGTGCAGACAGGCGGGTGTGCAGGCGCCCCTGTGCATGTGCGAAGGGGTGGGGAGCATTCACGCCAGCACTGGCACACGTGCACATGCACAAATCAGTTATGGGGGAGGGCCCTTCCACCTTCCTCAAAGGCTCAGCCAGTCTGCAGTCCCAAAAAGTTTGGGGATGGCTGCGCTACACTATACCTAACCAACATTTTGCTTTTCATTACTACTAGTTACATGTGGCAAATACATGAAGCCTGACTTGCCTGACTCTCACAGAGAAATATAGACAAAACATATTTTACTGTCATCAGGAGATCTAGTCAAGATGTCTCATTGCCCTTCACCTACTAAATGCCTAAGAAAATTGTGACTAAAAATATAAGAAATGAACATTTAAAAAAACCCTCAAATAAAAATCATGGGTAATCCAATATCCATTCCCAAAAGCATTATTCATAATAGCAATCATTTTGGCAGATTGTTGAAGCACAATCTCAGATTGCCTCTGTGTTTCCTTTTTCCCCTTTAAGGCCCTACCAAACCTAAAACAGTGGGTGGAGCACAAGGCAGGCAGGAAGAGATACACTTATTTATGTTCAGCTCTCTAATCTTTGATCCACTCCAAAATATTTCCTTTGGCGGCTTGGTTTGCACCAGTTCAAGTTAGCGATTCCTTTAGAACATTAGTCAGTGGTGGAATATTAATTACTAAGTAATCCTCCTCCGCAACAGCCAAGAACAGGCATTTCTCTATTATTCTTATAGTCGCAGCATTCTTGAAATCATTCCATGACAGTGGCTGAAAGACTGGCGGTAATAAGAGAAAGGTGTAATAATAATTCAGGTAAACAAGTGAACAGAAAACCATTTTATTTATGTGTGATATAGGCAAGTGCATTCACACGGCATGAGAGGAAAAACAAAGTTTAAGATTTGCAGTGTATGGCTGGATAATGAAATGTTTTTGTCCTTGAGAGGTAAGGCATGCCTATGATATCTGTCCATCTTTACCTTCCTTCTGCTCTTGGAGCTAATGTGTCATTCACAAGTCGGAGCTAATCAAAGGTTGCACAAGGGATTAAAGGTCAGTTTGTAATTGCTAATCTTGTGAAATGCTATCCATTCCATAAACAAGACTAACAGTATACAGAGCCAGCTGCCTATAGCTGTGGACTTTTCCACGTCTCTCTCTCTCTCCACTTTCTTTGGCTTAGTGGTCTTCTCTTTTCCACAGTCAGAGCTCCAGCAATGGTGTCCTTTCTGTCTTCATGGCGTGTCTTTATTTTCATTCTGGAGATGGGCCTGGGAGCCTTTGCCTTGGACAAGTACACTGCAGCAGTATACGAGCATTCAGTCATATTGGCAGAAAGCACTACAAAGCCAGTTTCTTCTGAAGAGGCTTTAAAACTGATGAACAAAAACATGGATATTTTAGAAGAGGCCATCAAAATGGCAGCAAAGCAGGTATGGAACTGTCTCTCACCACCTCCATTGTATTTCTGTGCAAATTGTTCTGTGGTAGCTTCAGTTCTGCTGGCTTTTGACAGGGTGCACACATCATTGTAACCCCTGAAGATGGTATATATGGTTTTTCCTTCACAAGAGAAACACTTTATCCGTATCTTGAGGATATTCCAGATCCACAAGTCAACTGGATTCCTTGTACTGAGCCAGAAAGGTACTCCTTTGTTTGTTTGTTTGTTTGCCTGCCTGTCTGTCTGTCTGCCACACCTTTACCCTGATTTCCCCCCACTTAGTTCAAGACAATAATAGTAATATTAGAACTGCATATCTGGAAGGGACCCTATGGATCATCAAGTCCAGGTTTTGTTAAGGGGGAATCAAACTTCTAACTTCAGGCTCTGCAAGCAGATACCTAAACTACTGAGCTATGTTGCCCTCCTCTTCATCTTTGCCATGACAACAAACCTATGAGACAAGCATGGCTTACACAAAATGGATTTCATGGCTCAGGGGATTTGAATGAGGACCTCCCATTTTCAGTCCAAGATGGCTAACCACAGGACCATAACGACTCTGTGCTTCACCTTTAAAACTCCTAAAGACACTTTCACCATAGTAATTTTCTTCTACTCTTGAGGTTCAGCATTGCAATATATAACTTGAAGTACAGGGAGAGCATGGAGAAAGAAAGGTTCTTTGTATTTTAGAATGGTGTATGTGGTCTGTCCTGTTACCTACACAATAAACATGTCAAGGAGAATAGCTAAGAAATAGTGCCAGGATTATTCAAAAAACCTTGTAGCTGAATGGATTTTGCCAGTCTAAATACAACTAGCATACTATAATTGTTGTCATTCACTGAGAGCTTTAGAATCTGTTGAGTATTACATTTTCTAGGAGGGTCAGCAGAGAAAAAAGAGGAAACAATTTTTTTTTTAAAGGAGGGGATTTTAAAAATAATATGCAATTTAATTTTCACATTCCTCTGGTTTTTCATTTCTCTGGATAATAGCTTTTTTTCTGGAATACCCATATTTTTGGCCTACATATTGGTTCCATATATAAAGTTCCTGAATGCAGAGCAATAATCTTTAATGATGTTCTAGAAAACAGTAAGAAAGAGAAGGGCAAGGAACTCTAGAATGGAATTAATAGAATATTTATAGTATGATTAGATGCACTGGAAACAACATACTGTACAAAAGAATGTTTCTGATCCCTAAAATGAGGACCACCCAGATAAGTCCCAAGATACAGTAAAATGTTTTTCTTTCACAGACATCATTATCTTCCACAAGTGTCTTTCCTCCCCCACTTGTCTGTCTGTTGGTAGAAAGCTTATAAAAACAAACAGAAGAATGCTTGCACAGACTTAAACAGCTACCTCTTCTAAACCAATGTCCTATAGCAATATAGAACCAATGTCATATAGCAGATTCTGTAGGTGTAAGAACTCAGAGCACAAACAGGAGAATAAATAAGGATCCTTTCCTTTAAGAGTTGATAAAAAGGTAAAGGTAAAGTTCCCATTGACAATTTTTGTCCAGTCGTACTTGACTCTAGGGGGTGGTGCTTATCCCCGTTTCCAAGCCATAGAGCCAGCGTTTTGTCCGAAGACAATCTTCCGTGGTCACATTGCCAGTGCGACTTAGACATGGAACGCTGTTACCTTCCCACCAGGGTGGTCCCTATTTATCTACTTGCATTTGCATGCTTTCAGACTGCTAGGTTGGCGGAAGCTGGGACAAGTGACGGGCGCTCACTCCGTCGCGTGGATTCGATCTTACGACTGCTGGTCTTCTGACCCTGCAGCACAGACTTCTGCGGTTTAGCCCACAGCGCCACCACGTCCCACTTTAAGAGTTGATACTGTTGTACATATCATAACTGCTTGAACAGGAAATGGATTGAAAATAAACATTTCTTCAGGGATTTGTTTTTAGAAAATAAGTTATTTTCACTTCGTCAGAAATGACAAGATAAAGATAAATCACACTTGGAAGTAAACATGGAAACTAAGTAGAAAAAGTGTTTCTTTTTTTCCAGCACACTTTGGCTAATAAAACATTCAGAAAGATTGTTATGGACTGTAAATGCACAGTAGTAGGCTAAGACTCCACAGTGTTGATTCTGTAGGTAATAAGTTTTAGAAATCGTTGCTCATCACATTAGCGTTGAGCTGGGGTAGCTATTTTTACTTAACCCAGTATCCCCAGTTTGGTAGTTATGTTACATAAATGTGGATCAGAAGGGACAGCATAGCAGATTTTTGCCTCACAAACATGTGTTTGAAATTCCCCTGGGGCAGTAGTGCTGACGGGGGGGAGCAGGTTTGGAGTGGCTAAGGATTGAACACCCATGAGCTGCTTCTCCCTTCTCAGCCATCTCTACTCCTGCAGCTTTTTAAATACAGTAGGAGAAAAAGTTGCTCTGCCACAGTTACACATGTTGATGCATGCCATGTAATTTGGCTTCAATTTGCTTGAAACATTTGAGGGAGAAATTATATTTTATATAGGAGAGAAACTGACCCTCACAATTTCTGAGGACAAACAGTCACACAGAAGTTTCTAAGCATCATAGGGGAGGAGGGTTAAACATACCCTCCAGTTGGATGGTCTGGAAGGTGTGCTTAACTCTCATCCCCAACTAAGCTGTGTTTCATTTACGAGGGGAAGTCTACAGATATTCCTTCATATGGCCATCTTTGAATGGAAGAATGGCACGTGGAGAAAGGATGAGGCAAAAACTTCATTTGCCAATCTCCTATCATTTCTTTAATCTAACCGGCATCCTTCCTGTAGCCGACTTTGACAATAAAAGGAGTATAAAACACTACTGTCTTATGCAAGGTCAAGTTTTCTTTCTTTCTATATTATGTCCTATGACCTGGAGGAAAATGGGCTGATCTGCTATGATCATTTCTCTAGAATGGATGATATGATCTGTTTACAGCTCTTGTATCCTGCTTTATGTCCTCCATTTCTATGATTCTCTGCCTTTAGATTTGGGCCTGCCCCAGTGCTAGTAAGGCTGAGCTGTCTGGCAAGAGACAACGCTATTTATGTGGTTGCCAACATGGGGGATAAGAAGCCATGCAATTTCACAGACCCTGACTGCCCTAGTGATGGCCGTTATCAGTACAACACAGATGTTGCCTTTGATTCACAAGGGAAACTGGTGGCACGTTACCACAAGGTACGAGTATACAGTCACTTTGGCAGTCGCTTTCTAACATACTGTCTTAAGCACATCCCTCTGGAGTTAATTTTCCTCTGATAATATTTAGACCGAAAATCTAAAGATAAATATAATGTATCTTTTAGATCAGTGGTTCTTAACCTTTTTGAAAAAATCTAAACATGAATATAATGTATCTTTTAGATATCAGAGGACAAACGTTTTATTAGCAATGTATAGCAAAAGTTTTCAGGCTTGTGAATATATATTATGACATTGTTTTTCATGATGAAAGTCGGAGTCCCAGTTTTTCAAGTTGTTTATTTTATTTATTCATTCAACGACCTATCCATCTATATTAAAATATGTGTTAGGCAAGAACTGGTCTCACAGTGTGGAGATGAAAGACAAGAAAATGCAAGATACAGATGCTGCTATATCAAAATTACAAAAGAATGTACAAGACAGTCAGTGCGAATGTCTCGCAGCTATACGCTACAGATAGCCTTTCATTGGAAGAGGGAATTCCTCGAGGGCTGAAATATGTCTTGTTAGTCACTGCTGAAGCTTGTCACACTTCCCATAGCTTTCAATTAGCTTTCTTTGCTTTGTCATTGGTCTTCAAATGTAAATGCAATCTTCATTTGCAAGTATGATTGCCCAGTTATGAAATTCTGCCTGAATCACATCTCTGGAATGTTGACAGACTTGAGGCACAAATGATAGGCTATCTGTAGTGTCAATTTTGGTTGTTCACTGACACTGTGATACATGAACAGTGATACATGAACAGAGGCTAAAGCTATGCTTGTCATTGGTCTTCAAATGTAAATGCAATCTTCATTTGCAAGTATGATTGCCCAGTTATGAAATTCTGCCTGAATCACATCTCTGGAATGTTGACAGACTTGAGGCACAAATGATAGGCTATCTGTAGTGTCAATTTTGGTTGTTCACTGACACTGTGATACATGAACAGTGATACATGAACAGAGGCTAAAGCTATGCATAATAGGCATGATACAACAGTATCACACTGTATGATACATGAACAGAGGCTAAAGCTATGCATAATAGGCAAAGGCCCATTCAACATGTATCTGTTTAAAATAAAACATATTGGGTTTAAAATGTTGAGTTTAGTTGTCATGTTTTTCTTGCAAGGTATCATATTCTGGCCACCATGATGCACACCTTAATTTTATGCTATTCAAATTACTGTGGTGTAGTGCACTGTACATGAGGCTGCTTTTAAAAAGTGCACAAAAACTTCATCTGGCCAAAATGTTGTGGCCAGACAGTTGACCAGGACTGTTTCTAGAGAGTATACTACACCCTTGAAACAGTAGCTTCATTGACTATGCATCTTTGAACTGAAAAATTCAAAGTGCAGCTTACAGTCTATAAAATCTTATACAATTAGGTCCAGGCTATCTGAAAGATGATTTTTTTTCCATGCAAGCATACTTTTGGAGCAGCTCAGATTTCCAGTACTCTCAGAGGCATATTTACTGTAGGGATATAAGATAGAACTTTCTCAGTTGTTGTAGAATACTCTTCCAAGGGAGACTAGGTTGAGCCCTCTCTGTTGTCCTGCCAGCAGACTAAGGGTTGAATTAGATGATATTCAGCACATGTTTAGAAGAGCCCCCCCCACAAATGATGAAAAATCTCTGTCTTAAGATTTTCCTCACACCCATAACTTGCATTTAGTATACAGTAATTTTGTTTTATGATGGGATCATGAAACATAAATTTAGGCTTAATTTGAAAGTCTGATTGTTGAGGCATGCATCCTCAAAGAAATCCCATTGTGACAACAAAATTTGCTTAATCGGAGGCAAAATGCAATTCCCATAATATCTAGTTTGGCTCAGTAATATTTTTAATCAGGTAGGCTTTTGCAATTGACTTGTTATCAGTTGACAGTTAGTTGCTTTATTTTTCTGACTGCTATGCTTTTAAATCTTTTTTGTTTAAATTGTTTTAGATTCTGCTTATTCTGTCTTAATCTTTGATCTCATTTTGGTGCTTCAGATGTACTTTTTATTCAACCATCTTGAGTCCCATTTCTGGGAGAAAGAGGGATTATAAATCCATTACGTAAATCCATTTCTTTTAAAGTGACTCCATTTTTTTATACTGATATGCCTTAATAATTTTCCGTGTTATCTTTAAACAGCTCAATCTCTTTATGATAGAACAGCTGCACTTTGATGCCCCTAAAGAGCCTGAACTTGTGACTTTCAATACCACTTTTGGAAAATTTGGCCTTTTCACGTGCTTTGATATACTTTTTCATGATCCTGCTGTGGTACTGGTGAGCAATCTTCACGTGGATACCATCATTTTCCCTACTGCTTGGATAAATGTCCTTCCACATTTAACTGCAATCGAATTCCATTCTGCATGGGCTATGGGCATGCGTGTCAATGTTCTGGCATCTAATACTCATCTTCGTAGCAGGAACATGACAGGTAATGCACAATTGTAGATAAAGCTAAATTCTGTGAAGCCATCTACTGGCAAACTTTGACTGGTTGCAGATGAACATTCATGCGGTTTTTCTTACGGTCCATTTGCCAAAATTAAGATGTCTATGATATATGGGGAACTCTTGGAATCTCACAAGTCTATATGTTCATGCAAGCCAATCTTTGCCTTAGGCATTGACATACAGAAGCCTCCTCTATTCATCTTTTAAAACAAAGGCAGAAAACATTTACTTTTTGTGTGTGTGTTTTCCCCAAGAGTAACCACACCTAACATTGAGAGTTTCCATACATGGCTGGAAGCAGTAGCCGTCCAACGTTCTGCATGAACTGGTTGTTGCTGGTGCTAATGAGAAGCACTCAATCCTAGGCTCACCATGGGACATGTTTTGTTGGCGGCAATGACTCTGAGATCAAAAAATGCTGCCGGATGCCATAGTGCGGAGCAGGGCTTTCCTGTGCTTGAATCTGAACTAGCCACTTTGGTGGCTTTTTCAAGACTAGTTCCCAAGCAGTTGTGATTGTTGAAGTTTTCAATCTGGTCTGCCTGGGAAGCCTAAAAGCATAGCTGGCTGAGGCAGAGGCCAGTCTATTTTTGATCATCTCTCACATACCCTCCATCAGATTTGTTTTGGTTAAGATAATTTGGTTCAATTGGTTTAATTGGAATTATAAATTTAATTTGGATAATTGCATTTTCTCGCAACTTTAGTTGGGTTGGGTTTGAAGCATGAGGATGGATCTAGGAGGTAGAGGGAGGGCCACACAGGCATGGGGCCCCATTCAGGTGCTGCAACTCATGAGGCAGTGTTGGTGTTGCATGCTTCCCATTCCCATTTGGAAAAGATTGAGCCACTCATTGGCCTGTGGTTGACACTAGGTCAGTCATGATTGCGATCACTCAACAGGTGGAGTGCCTGATCAGGGATCTGTCCTCTATGCTTGTTCCAGGGGCAGTTGGTGGCTGTAACCAATACAAGTTATTCCAATCAATACGTGTGTGGTTATTGCAGTTCCCCAAGTCTAGGAGCCACCCATTAGGCTCACCTACAAGTATTAATTTTCAGTTTTCTATTCTTATCCTTTCCAATAGACTGAATCAGCGGCAAAGAATTTCTATTACCTCCTCAAACTAGGAATATAAAACATTCTTATTCCCTTTTTGCTGAAAAAAGTGGTAGACACCACAGCCAGATAGAAGGGGGAGGGCAAAATGTACATTTTAGCATATGTTTGCCTGCTTTCTAACTGAACAAGTGTCTGCTTTCCTTCCTTCCTTCCACTCCTTTTCCATTCTTTGGTTGGAAAGACTCTCAGAATATCTTACAAAGTTGGAAGCATGACAGTCCCAGTAGTTAGGCACTCTAAATTTAAGGCATGACATAAAAATAAAAATAAAGGATAGAGAAGGAGAAGAGAAAAAGAAAGTCCAGTTCTTGTAATAACTTTAGTACACAAGAAATCTGAACTGACACTTGTTTTTGGATTCATAGGTAGTGGCATCTACGCACCAGATGGACCCAGGGCATTTCATTATGACGCCAAATCAGAGAATGGGCATCTTCTGGTTGCAGAACTTGATTCCCGTCCATCTCTCTCTCCTACCTACCTTTCTGCTCTTAACTGGAGTTTGTTTGCCACAACTATCAAGCCATTCTCAGAGGAACCTAATTTCACCGGAATCGTTTTCTTTGATGAATACACTTTCTCGGAGCTCACCAAAGAAGTCGGCAATCTGACAGTGTGCCAGAAAAGTCTGTGTTGCCACTTAAGCTACAGGATGACAGAACAACAAGAAGATGAACGTTATGTCCTTGGGGCATTTGATGGCCTTCATACAGTTGAAGGAGAATATTACCTCCAGGTCTCATTTCATCTTTGATGTAGAAGTGGGATCTCTTCTTTTGCTCATTTGGGATTGAGAAGTGGAAGAAACATCAGAGAAATGCAGGATGCCATCTGGCCAAAGCAAAGCAATATTAATCCCTTATCCTACTGGGCAGCAACCCATGAAAGCTTGTGTCATACAGTATTGAAACTGAGTAGATTTTAAGGTGCCACAAGATTTCCTACTGTTTTTAGTAGGCTACTTAATTATAATTTAGTTATCAACTTTAAGCTATGAGGATTTAAGTGCTTACCTCTGCACTGGATGTTACAGGTAACAAATGAAGGCCTGTTGCAATAAAGAAAAATGGCAGAGTCCTAATTCTCTTAACAATTTACTTGAGGCCACATTTAGTTGCAGGGAGGAAAGGTGAACCTCGGGAGAGCCATTTCCAGGCAGAGTTCACAGTACTGGGCTTGATGGAGAAGGAACCATTTTCCTGGACTAGTTTTAGGTTTTGTTTCAACTATATGGCTTCTAATTGATGAGACAGGAGCAGACTTCTAGTGGCCATTCATTGAGTGGTTCTCTTAGGAGTGCTGTTAGGGCTTTCTCTTAGGTGCCAAAGTTCAGGGCTCTGTAGCCCAAAAGGCATTTACTGAAATCTCTCCACCAAGAGGCATGTAATGAGGGCAGTAGCAAACAAACCCAATATCAACCAAGCTTGAGAGGGCCACCTAGGACGATCCTGTGAATAATTTAAAGCAATTAATTTTCTATAGCAATAAAAATCTGCTTACTTTATTGTGAGCACTTCTTCAAGATATGTGTTTTTCTTTTCAGGTATGTACACTGCTGAAGTGTGGAAGTACTGACCTCCAAACCTGTGGCCAGCCAGTGACTGCAGCTTACACCCAGTTTGATTATTTTTCCCTCAGTGGCACATTTAGCACAAACTATGTTCTCCCAGAAGTCCTGCTCAGTGGAGTCCAGTTGGCACCTGGAGAGTTTCAGGTAGGATGGCATTTCTAACCAAAGCCCACAAATATTCGCGAAGGCTTTCATGACCGGGATCTATGGTTGTTGTGGGTTTTTCGGGCTCTTTGGCCATGTTCTGAAGGTTGT